CCGTCGTAGTCGTAGTAGTAGGTCGTAGTAGTAGTCGTAATAGTAGTAGTAGTAGTAGTAGTAGTCGTAGTCGTAGTCGTAGTAGTAGTAGTAGTAGTAGTAGTAGTAGTAGTAGTAGTAGTAGTAGTCGCCGTAGTAGTAATAGTAGTAGCCGTAATGAAAACAATAACGGCGGTAGCGCCAGTGGTACTGGCAATAGTTGCAGTAGTGGTAGTAGTAGTAACACTTAGAAGTAGCAACCGTGATAATTACTCCGACGGAAGAACCCCACATAAGAATCCTCTGGGCGAATCTGGAAAAAAACCATCACCGTCGTCCTCGTGGTTGGTGAGGCGTCCTGGCTGTCTCTTCTGCGTATATTTCCTGTCGCCTTGGCGCGGGCCCCCCTTCCACTCCTTACGTTGTCCCCATCCTCGCCCCCATGTTTGTTCCGCGCCCCGCCACCTCCTCCCCTTCCTGTTGCATGAGCGCGCATGTCGATGTTCCTCGGCGCCGTCGCCGCCACGGCCAGCACAGGCGCGTTCTCTACTGGTCACGTCGCGCAGCCGTTGGGACAACCCCGCGGGCCAGGCTGTCGGGACAACCCCGCGAGCCGCTGGCGCGCAAGACCAAGCCGTTGGGACAACCCCGCGGGCTTCGAGCGAGGCGCAGCCGCGCTCAGGCGGAAGGCAGCACGAAGCCCAGCTCTGCCGCGAGCTGCTTCGCCTCCGCCCTGGACAAAACCGCCTGAGACTTCCTCCATATTCAAGCTTGAGGAGCCCAAAAGTGACGACAGTTACAGGACGCCGATGACCCGCTCGGATTACCAACATGATCTGCGGGCCCCATAGGGAGGGAGTTCCCGCCTGAGACTTCCTCGCAATTCACTCAAAGACGATGCTCCCGCCTGAGACTTCCTCCAAATTCAGGCTTGACGAGCCCAAAAGTAACGACAGTTACAGGGTTCCGATGACCCGCTCGGATTACCAACATGATCTGCGGGCCCCATGGGGAGGGGGCTCCCGCCTGAGCCTTCCTCAGAATTCACTCACAGACGAGGCTCCCGCCTGAGACTTCCTCCAAATTCAGGCTTGAGGAGCCCAAAAGTGACGACAGTTACAGGATTCCGATGACCCCCCGTATTCGCAACGTGATCGCGGGGCCGCCATCAGGGAAGGAGCTTCTCCGCCTGAAGACTTCCTCCCAATTCAACTCGTCAGTCGTCGTCCGCCTGAGACTTCTGCCATTTTGTTGGCCTGGGAACTCAAAGTGACGACAGTTTACAGGGTTCCGATGACCCGCTCGGATACCACTGATCTGCGGGCCCCATAGGGAGGGGGCTCCCGCCTGAGACTTTCCTCACAATTTCTCACACGAGGCTCCGCCTACCCTTCGTGCAAATTCGGGCGTGAGGACACAAAAGCCCAAAAAGTGACGTACGGTTACATGATTCCGATGACCCGCTCGGATGACCAACGTGAATCTGCGGGCCCGCCATAGGGAGGGAGTCTCTTCCGCCTGAGACTGGTCCTCCGCCCCCACTCACAGACGAGGCTCCCGCCTAAGACTTCCTCCATATTCAGGCCTCAAGAGCCCAAAAGTGACGACAATTACACGTTTCGGATGACCCGCTCGGATTGCCAACATGATCTGCGGGCCCCATAGGGAGGGGGCTCCCGCCTGAGACTTCCTCGCAATTCACTCACAGACGAGGCTCCCTCTTGATACTTCCTCCAAATTCAGACCTGAGGAGCCCAAAAGTGACGACAGTTAGAGGAATCCGATGACCCGCTCGGATGACCAACGTGATCTGCGGGCCCCATAGGGAGGGAGCTCCCGCCTGAGACTTCCTCCCAATTCACTCAAAGACGATGCTCCCGCCTGAGACTTCCTCCATTTTCAGGCTTGACGAGTCCAAAAGTGACGACAGTTAGAGGTTTCCGATGACCCGCTCGGATTACCAACATGATCTGCGGGCCCCATAGGGAGGGGGCTCCCGCCGGAGACTTCCTCACAATTTACTCAACGATGATGAGGATGAGGATGATGAGTGGTGGTAGATCGGAAATGGTAAAGGGATGATGATTGATTGTGAGTGGTGGTGGCGATGATGATGTTTGAATGAGGATGATGCCGATGCCGACGATGATGATGATGATGATGTTCATGAGCGTGTGAGAGAGTGCGAGTGATGATGATGATGAGTATGTGAGTGACTAAGCATGTGAGAGAACATCATCGATGATGCTGATGAGGTTGATGATGAGAGAGTGCGAGTGAGTGTGAGTGGGTGTGTGTGTGTGTTCCTGTTCCTGCGCGGGGTGTCCAGAGAAAACAAGAACCCCACTTTGGATGTGGGAAAAAAGGGCATAGTTTCCTGCTTCAAAAGCACGAATGTAGATCGAACTGTGAAGCGTCCCAATGGATACGTGCCGGAGCACGACCCAGAGGAAGCGCACGGGAGTGCGTCCCAGTGGATACGTGCCAGAGGCACGACCCAGAGGAAGCGCACGGGAGTGCGTCCCAGTGGATACGTGCCAAAACACGACCCAGAGGAAGCGCACAGAGTGCGTCCCAGTGGATACGTGCCGGAACACGACCCAGAGGAAACGCACAGAGTGCGTCCCAGTGGATACGTGCGGGGGCACGACCCAGAGGAAGCGCACAGGGGTGCGTCCCAGTGGATACGTGCCGAACACGACCCAGAGGAAACGCACAGGGTGCGTCCCAGTGGATACGTGCGGGGGCACGACCCAGAGGAAGCGCACAGGGGTGCGTCCCAGTGGATACGTGCCGGGCCACGACCCAGAGGAAGCGCACAAGAGTGCGTCCCAGTGGATACGTGCGGGGGCACGACCCAGAGGAAGCGCACGGGAGTGCGTCCCAGTGGATACGTGCCGGGGCACGACCCAGAGGAAGCGCACGGGAGTGCGTCCCAGTGGATACGTGCCGGAGCACGACCCAAAGGAAGCGCACAGGGGTGCGTCCCAGTGGATACGTGCCAGGGGCACGACCCAGAGGAAGCGCACAAGGGTGCGTCCCAGTGGATACGTGCGGGGGCACGACCCAGAGGAAGCGCACAGGGGTGCGTCCCAGTGGATGCGTGCCGGGAATAGCGTTCTGGGAACACGACGAACACGAAGTGGCCTACAGTTGGCTCCTCGCAATTCACTCAGAGACGAGGCTCCCGCCTGAGACTTCCTCCAAATTCAGGCCTGAGGAGCCCAAAAACTTCCTTGTTGCGTCCAAGATGTGGCCTGGGAGCTGCGTTCTGGCAGCGCGAGAACCCAAAATTGACGACAGTTACAGGGTTCCGATGACCCGCTCGGATTACCAACGTGATCTGCGGGCCCCATAGGGAGGGAGCTCCCGCCTGAGACTTCCTCGCAGTTCACTCACAGACGAGGCTCCCGCCTGAGACTTCCTCCATATTCAGGCTTGAGAGCCCAAAAGTGACGACAGTTACAGGTTCCGATGACCCGCTCGGATTACCAACATGATCTGCGGGCCCCATAGGGAGGGAGCTCCCGCCTGAGACTTCCTCCCAATTCACTCACAGACGAGGCTCCCGCCTGAGACTTCCTCCATTTTCAGGCTTGACGAGCCCAAAGTGACGACAGTTAAGGTTTCGATGACCCGCTCGGATTACCAACGTGATCCCCATAGGGAGGGGCTCCCGCCTGAGACTTCCTCCCAATTCACTCACAGACGAGGCTCCCGCCTGAGACTTCCTCCAATTCAGGCCTGGGGAGCCAAAAGTGACGACAGTTACAAGATTCCGATGACCCGCTCGGATTACCAACATGATCTGCGGGCCCCATAGGGAGGGGGCTCCCGCCTGAGACTTCCTCGCAGTTCACTCACAGACGAGGCTCCCGCCTGAGACTTCCTCCATTTCAGGCTTGAGGAGCCCAAAAGTGACGACAGTTACAGGGTTCCGATGACCCGCTCGGATTACCAACATGATCTGCGGGCCCCATAGGGAGGGGGCTCCCGCCGGAGACTTCCTCACAATTTACTCAACTGATGATGAGGATGAGGATGATGAGTGGTGGTGAAGGTGAGTGGTGAAGAGGATGATGATTGATTGTGAGTGGTGGTGGCGATGATGATGTTTGAATGAGGATGATGCCGATGCCGATGATGATGATGATGATGTTCGTGAGCGTGTGAGAGAGTGTATGTGACTGACTAAGCATGTGAGAGAGCATCATCGATGATGCTGATGAGGTTGATGATGAGAGAGTGTGAGTGACTGTGAGTGGGTGTGTGTGTGTGTTCCTGTTCTTGCGCGGGGTGTCCAGAGAAAACAAGAACCCCACTTTGGATGTGGGGAGCAATAGTAACCGACTACCCGTGCCACGCGCCCGTGACTTGCGAAAACTGAAAAAGGTGAGAGTCCACTTGCCATGCCAGGCGTTCTGAAGATGTTGCGAATCATCATAAGAAGATAAAAACTTCGATTCGCAACTTCCCCCGCGATAAAAAAGGTTCGACCTTGCCGCCCTTCCCCCTGGACCAAATCTGCGCTGGCAAGATATATCAGACTGTCAAGAATTAAGGGGGGATGATGTATTACCCGGGGGCCGCGGAAATTCTTTTTCAGCTACTGTGTTTTTCGTTTAGATAAAGCGCTGTTGCGTTCTGAGTGCTCAGGCAGCCCAACTCCGCAAAACCGAAGGGAGGCGGTGTGCGCGACGGTGCAGGAATGACACAGCGCGGCTACGCGAGACGAGGCTGGCGACCTACCAGGCCACCCCTGACCTAACCCGAACACCCAAATTTCGTGTTGGGGAGGGGGCGCAGGTTCCACATGCGTGTTTCTTCCCATGTTCTCCGACGCCCCCCCCCCCCCAATGGACACGGGGGGGAAATTGGAGCCTTCGGTTTGGGTTGAAGTGTTTAAGTGGGTGGTGAGAGGCGAAGGCCTTTTCTTCTTCCTCCTCATTATCCTCATTATCCTCATTCTCCTCCGCCTCCGCCTCCGCCTCCGCCTCCGCCTCCGCCTCCTCCTCCTCCTCCTCCTCCTCCTCCTCCTCCTCCTCCTCCTCCTCCTCCTCCTAAGTGGCTCCTCGGCGATGCCCCGCAGCAGTCTTGCCCGCGGCGGCGCGGCGGCCCGTGCCATCGATGAGCCCCCAGCGCCAGGAGAAAGCGCGACGCGTCACAGCCTGCCGTGAGCGGCGCTGGACATGCGATCGAGTGCGCCCCCAGGAGTGGAGAGGCGCCCGAGCAGAAGCCAGCGGCGCGCGGCGCGAGGACTGCGCCTGGCGACCTGCCGACAAGCCGCCGTCGGCTTCGGCTGGCTCGGGACGCCTTTTTTCAACGGCCGCAGCGGAGGCTGGGGGCCGATCGGGGAGCGGCCGCAGGAGCCGACACAAGCGGAGGGCGAGCAGCGGCAGCGCTAGCAGTGGGAGAAGCTGGCAGTGGAGCCCGACGTCATTGTGGAAAGAACAAGTCAGATGGCTGCGCGACAAACTGCCAAAACGCGCTGGCGCGCTGGTGTTGTCAATCAGGGCCATGTCCGGATTTGTCTTTATCTTGTCCACAAATCCTCCTGGAATTTCGTGCCGCTCCCCCCCACCACCATGGGTTTGACTTTCACGAGCACACCATTGCCGGTGGCTTTTTTATGGAATCGTACCCAACCTTCATGATGTCATACATGATTTGCTGCGTATGCAAAGATTTCGCTGGATCACCACCGCGGCTCTCAGGACGAAGGACCACCTAAAACGGTGCCACTACCTTCTTCGACTCAACCCTGAACCGATCTCGGAACGGGATGTTGTTAAACATAATAATTCGCGTTGGTGTGTCGTTTGCCGTGGAAGGCTGGCCAAGGCGACCCCTGTTACCACAAGTTCCCCCAAACCCGCCACCAACTCAGCAAACGCCGTCACCACGGAGGTTCGATCTCCTGCCTTGCTCAGAGCCCAAAAATGATACCTATACGACCACCCTTTGGGTGATAAGGAGGTTCGGGGGGGGAGGAACCAACGTCTCACTCGATCGGTCTCACTATCGATCTCACTATCGATCTCAGTATCGGTCTCGCTCGATCGATCTCCCTCGATCGATCTCACAATCGATCTCACTCGATCTATCTCACAATTGATTTGACTATCGATCTCACAATCGGTCTCACAATCGGTATCACATTCGGTCTCACTATCGATTTCACTATCGATATCACAAGCGCTCTCACAATCAACGTCATCATCATCATCAACAACAACATCAACATCATCATCACCAACATCATCAGAATCGGGACACCGTCCTCATCATCATCACCAACATCATCATCATCACGGTCATCAACATCATCGGGACACCACCATCATCATCATCATCATCACCATCATCACAATCATCATCATCAACACATCATCATCATCAGCAGCATCGGGACACAGTCATCGTCATCATCATCATCAGCAGCATCATCATCGGGACACCATCATGATCACCATCGTTAGCATCATCATCATCATCATCATCATCGGGAATCATCTCATCATCATCATCTCATCCTCATCATCGACATCATCATCATCATCATCAGCAGCATCAACATCATCATCAGCATCATCATCATCGTCGTCATCATCGGGGCACCATCATCATCATTAACAACATCAGCATCATCACATCATCATCATCATCATCACCATCGGGACGCCATCATCATCAACATCATCACAATCACCATCAGAATAATCATCATCATCATCATCCGGGACGCCATAATCATCATCAACCTCATCATCATCAACATCAATCATCATCGGGACACAATCATAATCAGCATCATCAATCATCATCATACTCATCATCATCAATCGGGACACATCATCGTCATCATCATGATCATCAACATAATCATCATGATCATCATCATCCTCATCATCGAACACCATCAGCATCATCATCAATCATCACATCGTCATCATCTCATCATCATCATCATCATCATCATCATCATCATCGCAATCGATCATCATCATCATCATCATCATCATCGGGACACATCATCATATCATCATCATCATCGTCGTCCTCATCATCATCAGCAGCATCACCATCATCATCATCATCGACGTCATCATCATCATCATCATCAGCATTATCATCAGCATCAGCATCAGCATCACCATCATCATCATCATCATCATCATCTCATCTCATCATCATCATCATCATCATCATCATCATCATCATCATCATCATCATCATCATCATCATGATCATCATCATCATCATCGCGGGACACCGCGGGACACCGGCGGGACACCGCGGGGCACCGCGGGACACCGCGGGACTTTCGCGGGACACCGGCGGGACACCGCGGGCCACCGGCCGCCCCGAAGGGAGTCATTTGGTCTGGCCGCGCCTCAGCCACACGGGACTTTCGCGGGACACCGGCGGGACACCGCGGGCCACCGGCCGCCCGGAAGGGAGTCATTTGGTCCGGCCGCGCCTCAGCCACAGGAGACTTTCTCTCGCCCGCCCACGCAGCTTCGCCTCGCCCGCACGCACGGCACGCACGAACACGAAACCGAAATCGATTTCCCCCCTACCGCTCTCCGTTCCACTTCGATCTCATCCCCTCACCTCCGATGAATTAAAGGGTGACGATTGCGACGACGGTTCTCGACCCGATCAGAATTCGAATGCTTCCTTCCCACCCCCTGGCAATGACTTCGCAAGTTCCTCCTCATCTTCGAGGAGTTGGGAGGGGGAGGGAAGATGATACTTTCCGGAGAGGGGGGGCGGGGAGGGAAGAGGTGTGGGGGGGGGAAGGGACATGGACGAGGAGAGGAGGAGAGGAGGAAGAGGATGAGAGGAGTACGAGGGAAGGAGGACGAGGAGAGGACGAGGAGAGGAGGAGAGAAGGACGAGGAGAAACGAAGAGGAAGAAGAGGAGAACGAGGTGAGGAGAGAAGAAGAGGAGGAAGAGGAGGACGAGGAGAGGAGGGGAGGAGGAGGAGGAAGAGGAGAGGAGGAAAAGGCAGCCGAGCTCCCCAACGCCCCAGAACGACGACCATGTGCATGCCCATGGTTGTCGTTCGGGCGCTCGGCGGAAACAGAGGGAAGAGTTGCTTCACTCCATTCGCGAAAGCCGTAGCTACCGATCGGAGGTCTATGCCCATGCGCTCGGACTCTGCGTGCACGACGCGTCGGGGGAGGGGAGGGGACAGCCCGACACCATCAGCTAGATCGGGGGACGCGGCACGCGCGGGACATGTACAAAGGCAGCGCCGACAGAGGCGCATGGTGAACCCGATGACGCCAGCTGCAGTGCAGGGACCAGTGGGTGCCGACAACAAGGGGGGCCAGCGCAGACGCTATCGGTGCCAGCGCGACCTGCGAGAAGGCAGAGCGGGAGGCGACCAGCAAGCCAGACGCCATCAGCTACAGTGCTGGGGCGCACGTTAAGCATGGGCAGTGGCAACCGCCAGCAGACGGAAAGTGCGGGCAATGGCAGCTTCAAGCGAGCAGAGACCGTGCGTGTGAGGAGGACGGGCAGTGGCCGCCAGAGGAGGAGACAGCGGGACCCAGCGGGCGCGAGCAGTGCGAGAAAGCAGAGGCGGTGGAAGCGAGGTTAGAGCCCAACGTCATTAGCTACACCGTGGGGTACCCTACCTCGTTGCCCCTCGTCGCCACGGCTGGACCAGAGAATAGGAATGGCGAGAAGACGGGAGAGGCGAAGATAGAGCCCAACGTCATCAGCTACTGTGAGGAGGTGGAGCGGTCTCTCGGCGCGTGGCAGACCTCGGCCAACGACCACGTCTTCGTGCGAAAGCTTCGGAGGCTGGAGGCTGCCACCAGGGCAGAGAGACAGGGCCCCGCCAGCCAGTGGGAAGCCAAGGACGTCCACAGCGAGTGGGGGGCCCATCCCGCGGCCGACCAGGCCAAGTTGGAGAGGCGGTACCAGCGGTTCCTCGAGTCCAACTGGTGGCTCCACGGCGGCGCCTCCACCATCCTGGGGTCGGACGGGCGGCCCTCGCAGTTTCTCAGGGCGAACTTCCACGATATGATCTTAAGGGCCACGGGGGTGAACGCCACGCGCGTCATCGTCCATGTTCGGCGCGTGTGGGAAGGAAGGGCGAGGGCTCCGTGGCGCCTCTGCCAGACGCGCACGGAGAGGGAGGGAGCCCCAGGGTCGCGGCCCCAGAGGGGAGGCCCCCGCGCGCGGGCCTGCCGACTCGCCCCCCCTAAGTGAAGATGGGGACTTGGGTCCTCCAACGCCATTCGGAAGGGAAGCCTCTCAAGCGAGCCCCCGGAAGTAGCGTGGTCTGACTGAGTCAGCTTGGGGTAATCCTTGGGTAATTCTCCTCCTCTTCCTCCTCCTCCTCCTCCTCCTCTCGCGGAGGGGTGACCCCTGGGCCCCTGTGGGCTTGTGGCCATGCTTGAGACGAGCGCCCACGCCCGGCACCCGCGAGGTTCAGGCCATACTGGCCGAGGCGAGGGTCCAACACCCGCTTTCGGGTTACAGCTTTCTTGCTCCTCCTCCTCCTCCTCCTCCTCCTCCTCCTCCTCCTCCTCCTTTTTCTCCTCCTCTGTCTTCCTTCTTTCCGCCCCGCGGCCCTGGCACCAGGCCCGTTTTAGGCCTGGTGTCTACTTGGGCCTGGGGTGTAAGGAGGCCAGCTCCCGGGCAAGATATCGAGACGACGATGTCACAAGATACGGTTAGCGCAGGAAGCATTTCGAAAATTCCGGCGCACCCAGCGGACCTCGTTTCCTGGAGCCCGTATGGAACAGTAGGAGCTGGGAAATCAGGGAAGTCCTCCAACGTACTGTTATATCCTGTCACGACACGGAGGGCGACCGCCCGCCCGGGATCCGCCCTGCGCCTGGGACGACCAGCGGGCCCCTGCCTGGCCAGTCCCGGGCGCCGCATGCGAGCCGGGCCCGGCCAGGTCCGTCTTCAAGCCCTTGGCCCCGAGCCCCTCCGAGAGCCCCTCCGAGAGCCCCCCCCGAGTCCCTCCTCCGAGCCTCTCCGACAAGAGCCCAGAGCACTTCCCTCCCGTCATCGTCATCGTCATCACCCCCCTCGATCGAGCCCCTACGACAAGAGCCCAAAGCCCTTCCCGTCCCCGAGCACCTGCGAGAGCCCTGCGAAACCCTCGGATC